CTGCTGTGCGTGCTGCAGAGAAGTCGACTGTATGTTTGGTGACGTGGGTATGGTGGACACGCGCAATGTGACCGTTTCTAAGGAAAAAAAAAAGATGATAGATGCTGAAACTGAACGCATTCAGGTCCGTGGATCATGTTCAGTGGCGTGTATAGTAATGTTGTTGCCTTTGGGCGAGCACCCGCGCATGGTGGACCCTTGTGGGGGGGCGGGGTGGGTTGCCCTAAGTTTCGCTGGTTGATATGAACGGGTCGAGTGCAGGGGTGACCAACCAAACTTTTTGAAAATAAGAGCTGCTTCTTGGGTATTGATAAATGCAACCGGTTACATATGCACTTCTGAAATAACACATTTGCAGAAATGATTTGGCGATAAATCATCTCAACATGGTGGCGCCTGCTAGCTCTTCTCCACATTTCGTCTTTTGCTGCACTCGTGACGAGGGTACGACCACATGGATTTTTTTTTTTGAGCCCAAGGCTTTTTGGCAGAAAAAAAAATACTGATTATTCGGTTGATTAATTAAAAAAAAAATCTCTAAATCATTAAATATCCCCCCCCCCACATGCATATCAATGGCCTTTTGCTATTCATGGTTTGGACGGCATGGTGACTGATCCCTAATCCATGCGAATAGCGGGGGTCAACTGTAAACATATTGTCTCCCCCCCCCCCTGCAAAAACACTTTCCTTTACAGTTCCCAAGGGCTGATCTTTGAAGGACCATTTTGTTGTTGTCATTTTCAAATTGACACAGAAGCAAGTGTGGTTTAAAAAAAAAAAAAGAATAGCAAGACAAAAACGTGCACAAATTTAGTCACATCTCACTGGTGAGCTATTTTTAGTTCAGCCCCACGGCTACACAAGCTCCTTGCGGGCTACTTCTTGCCCAGCCCTTGTCCAGTGTAGACATAAAGAGCTTTTGACTTCTCTTTAACCCCCACAAGGTGATTGAGGTGGGGTGCTGCCCCCTCGGCCCCCCTCATTTGTACGCCACTGCCCATGAGGGCACGGACTATAGGCTTTGCTCGTCGCTACATATGCTGACATATGTTCGCACAGGATGGATTCAAGCTCTATCATGTTTGAACTCCGCACTCTAATGTGGGCACTGTACCACTGGCTGCTCAAAATTGCATATAGACAAGCCAGCCCATGTTTCATCCACATAAAAAATCAATCAAGTTAGATGCTCCGAGTTGACGCATTCTGACTCCGTGGTTCAATAATGTGTGTACACGCTGTCATGTTGACAATGCCATAAATATTCTGGGAGAATGTCCCATGCACAGATGAACCAAAATTTTTTTTTTTTTACTCGTGTATCTCCATAGCACAGTTTGTTGTGCTGACTCCCATTCATTGATGAAGTGGCAGTGAGGATCCAGGTCAGTGCCACAGACTGGCACAAACAAGCTTGAAGCCCGAAATAGAAACATGAGCACCAGGCGGGGGGGGAACAATTCAGTGATTTTTGCCCTCCCCCCACCCTGAACATTAAATACACACATACACACACGCACACACACACACAATGGAACCTCTGATGTGCATCCGTACCAAACGTTTGTTGGCTGCACGGGCAACAAGGGATGTCATTTTCAATGTTGCCACGGTTATCTTTAAAAGTAACGAACGGAGTTGCTTCACTGATGACTTGATTCTACAAGTCACAACGTTAGATTACAAGTTACTTTATTAGTTACTTTCAGCTGACAAATTTCATTTCAATCAAAACCAATTTTTCCATTCAAATCAGTTTTGGATACACCCCGAACAACCAATTTATGGTGGAACTCTATCAAAAAGTTAAAAAAAAAAAAAAAAAAAAAACTAAGAAGCCTTTTGGCATATGATACCATGATCTCGTACCGCAATCTTTGGGTGCTTTGACATATTCTCCACACCAAAAAAAATGGCAATCCAAAACCAGACAGCACGACGTTACGAGGTTGCACTGAACGCACCGTCACCGCGTCGCCGCGCTGGATGGATGTTTTTCTGTATGCAGCTGCAGCAGCCATGGGAAAGCAGAACAGCAAGCTGACACCTGAGGTGATGGAGGACCTGGTGAAGAACACGGAGTTCAATGAGCACGAGCTGAAGCAGTGGTACAAGGGCTTCCTTAAAGACTGCCCCACCGGAAGACTCAACCTGGAGGAATTCCAGCAACTCTACGTCAAGGTGGCTCCATTGAACCATCCCTTCTACGGATTTGTTTTTTTTTCCTCCATTTTATCATGTTCAACTGGGATTAGGATTATGACAGGAGGGATTTGGAGAAAAAAAAAATGTCTCGCCTCTAAGGGGTCCCTGGGCCCCAAACTCATCCTCACCCGTCATCTTCTCGTTGCAGTTCTTCCCGTACGGCGACGCTTCCAAATTCGCACAGCACGCCTTCCGCACCTTTGACAAGAACGGCGACGGCACCATCGACTTCCGAGAGTTCATCTGCGCCTTGTCCATCACGTCGCGCGGCAGCTTCGAGCAGAAGCTCAATTGGGCCTTCAACATGTACGACCTGGATGGGGACGGCAAGATCACCAGGGTGGAGATGCTGGAGATTATCGAGGTCGGTGGCGCTCTCTCGGTCGTTTTCTCCTGTTCCCGCTTGTGTCTTTTTTTTTTTTTTTTAAACTCGCGCCTGGTTCGGCGCTCTTCCAAGGTTTGCCGAGTCTCCCGTCCAATTGGATGTCGCTTGTACAGATTCTTCTCTGATCGTTACGGACATGATTTTGCACCGACTGGGCCCCGGGTTCAGAGGCGGACCCACATCTCCCCCGCAGCGTTTTCATCTTGTTTAATGGACTTTAATATTATTCCAAGTAACATTGTATACCAATATTGTGTCATATGTTGCCCACTCGGTTATCCATTGCAGCCCGGTCATCCTGGAAGGGGGATTCTCCCATCTGCGGCCCCTTCTCAAGGTTTCTCATTTTTCCCCAGATGGGTTTTTTGGGGGAGTTTTTCCTGTTTGTGATTAAGGGCTATTGTCATAAATGAGACTTGACCTGACTTGAAAGTTTGCGTTGCTTAAAAATGGTACATGAAATATAGACAAACAAGGAAAAATAGTGTCGGGTGCGGTGAGGTGGGGGATTTTCAGACAGACTGTAACTGTCACGCTGCTGCACACCTGCACCTCAGAGGCAGGCTAGCTGGCGGGCGGGCGGGCGCTGGGTGGGTGGCTGATGGCAGCACTGCAGTCATATTAAGTTACGGAATTACAGCACTGCCGTCTCGACGCAAGGACAGGAGAGTCGATGTTATCGCCTTGATGATTGTCCATTTCAAGCGTGTTCCCGAGCACCATACACATGGCCCAAAAACCTTGAATTCGCTGGAGCTTTTCGAAAAAGTTGTGGCAGTTGCTGCAGGCAGGATACATGAAACTGTGTCGGCCGATGGAACAAAGTGGCGCTCACCCCTTGACTCCGCCCACCCCCCACCCCCCCACCCTTTGCAGGCCATCTACAAAATGGTGGGCACGGTGATCATGATGAAGATGAACGAGGACGGCCTGACACCGGCGCAGCGGGTGGACAAGATCTTCAGCAAAATGGATAAGAACAACGATGACCAGATCTCGCTGGAGGAGTTCAAGGAAGCGGCCAAGAGCGACCCGTCCATCGTGCTGCTGTTGCAGTGTGACATGCAGAAGTGAAGACCCCGCCCCTCGCCCATTTGCCCCGCCCCCACCACCTCCTGCACCACCCTCTCTCAACGCCACCACTGCTCACTCCCCGAGCCCCCTCCCCGTCACCCTGCTTGAACACACACACACACACACACACACACACACACACACACACACACAAGTACACACCCTGGACAGCTGTTTAAATGTCTCATTCCACGGGGGGTAAAGAAAGAAAAAAAACAAAAGCTTGGACTCTTTTTCAATGGACTCGCTTCTTGTGGTCGTATGCATGAGAACTAATGTCAAATATGCTGAATCATTTTGAATCTAGCGATAAGATAATGCTATGTTTATTATATTTCCGAACATGTTGTCGTGCACCGTAAACCCTCCACACACACGCGTGCCCGCGCTCATCCAGCTGGTGTACGGATGAAGTCGAACAGTCGGCGACTTTGCGACGCGTCCGACGAGTGGCAGCCATATTGCTATTGGGGAAAACCGTTGCTGACATGGAGACCCTTAGAGTATTTGACTCTGGTTTAGACTTTGGTTGTTTTAGGGCAACCCAGCCAACTTTGTCCGCCAGCAATGAGGAGAACTTTAAAATTCTCGTCAATTTAGCATCACCCGTCTGTCTAGCATATCGTAGCTTGTTGTAATTTGGTAGCCATTTGCCAAAATTTTGAGGAAGATGAATCGGAGAATTGGTGTATATGTTTGTGGGAGTCCTGGAAATGGCGTAATTGACTCTCAAATGTCCGCGTCATACCAAAATGGTGGACTTCCTGTCTATGTTCGAGCATGGCTTTTGAAGACTTTTTTTTTTTTGTGTGTGTCTTCTCATGAAAGACAGGCTTACCAAATTTAATGTTGCCAAGTAGTCTTCAGGGGCGAGGCATTCGTGCAAGCGGACTTCCAGTTTTAGAGTTTTGCCTTTCATCCAACTTTGCCACCATGCTGAGTCCGCACGCAACTACGAAAAATATGTTCATCATTTAGCTTTGGTTCAATTTAGGGTTCAACGAGAACAAATCCGAAAAAGAATTTGTCTCGGAAATGACCTTAAAATAGTGTCTTCAAACCAAAATGCTCAACATCTCGTGTCTTTTTGGGCATGGGTTTTTGAGACTTTTTTGTGGCTCAACTCATGATCGATACACCCACCGAATTTCATGTTGCTAAGCGAAACTGGCTTCGGGGGCTGAATTTCCATCAAACCCCAGGGCACGCTCCCCAGCCCGTTGAGTTTCCCCCTCTACCAAGATGGCGGCTCACACGTGACTCCACGCCGACTTCTTCCATGAGCGGAACACTTTCTTTGGGACTAGTTTTTTTTTTTTTTTTTTTTTCCCTACCAGCCAGCCTTCCCTTGCAAGTTGTTCACCGCTGCAACTCCCGTACCGCGTTGAGTAATCGTCAATAAAAACAATAACTCCTACGATAATTGTAATGATAAGTGTCTCTGCCAGCCAGGCTTGTAGAGCTTGTGGATGATAGAGAGATGTTCACGCACGACAGAGAAAAAAAACTAAAGTATTTGCATGCATATATTACGTGTCAACAAAAGAAGAAATATATAATATATATATAGATATAATCTACTACCTTTTTATTTATTGTTTCTTCTTCTGTGGTTCTAAAAGAGGAAACCCTCTTGGGATTCATTTCGTATTGTTGCATGGGATGTACAGTGTAAGCTCACCTGAGGTGGAAGCATGCTTCCCTCCGCATTCATTCACACAATCGTATTTCTTTCCGGTATTTCTGAATTCATTTTACATTTGACTGCTGCGAGGAGGTTTGGGGCCACGTGTAAGAAAAGTGATTATACGACAAGAATAAAGTCTGATTTTATTTTATTTTTTTTTAGCAGACAATTGTACTTATTCAAGAAAAAGTCATAATTTTGCCATTATAACATCACGTATAATATATATATTTTTTAAAACATGATTTGTTTTCTCTCTGAAAATGGCAAGCTTTTTTCCTGAATAAAATGTGACTTTATTGTCATCAATAAGACTTTTTCCCTCAAAAATATGAATATTTTCTTGAATGCAATCAAATTTAATTCTCATATAACTACAACTGTTTTCTCGAAAAAGTATTTTTTTTTTCTGAGCAAGACAGGACCATGACTTTTCTTGAAAAGGATGTCTGTTTTCCTGAAAAAACAGTGACTATTCTCATAGGATTGCATATTTTTTCTTAAATACTAAAATACTGTCTGTTTTTCATCAAATGACTATTTTTCTCAAAATGTATTCTTTTTTTCCCCCCTTGAAAAATCTTATTTTTCTCTTATCTCTTGAAAAAGGTATCTCCCCCCTGAAATATTATTTCTTTCTTTTAAAAAAATGTGACTTTTTCTTGAAAAAGAGGTCTTTACTCTTGAAAAAGGTATCTCCGCCCCAAAATAAGATTATTTCTTTCTTTCTTTCAAAAAATGTGACTTTTTCTTGAAAAAGAGGTCTTTATTCCTTGTTTATGACCTCTTTCTTGAACCAGTAGAAAGACGTCATACTGTCTTATGCTTTTAGAAAATATTACTTTATTCTCTTTGTATAATGCAGTTTTCTTTTCAGTGTGGCCCTAATTCATACTCCTTTGCCGATTACAACCACGCGCCGACACACACACACACACTCGTGGCACACAATTGGCTGCCTGTTTGATTTGTTTACACAGTACATATCCACAAGTTTACAAAGAGCACTGCTATAATAATCAAATGATCTGCATGCTGAGAGTTTCCTCATGAGAGGGGCTCATATTCCAAAGCAGCAGCAGCAAAAAAAAAAAAAAAAAAAAGGGAAAAAAAACCCAACAAGTTTACTGTACACACTTGCATTCCAGCACTGAAATTGTTTTCAAATGTAAAGTTTTATTTTGCATTTTGAATTAGTCTTTCCAGCACATTTGGCTTCCCTGTTTTCCAGGCTATGCAAGCGTGGACTGAGTGTCTGCTTTGTCCACATGTCGAATGGCAGACACGGCAGAAGAACCCCCCCCCCCCCATCATAATCTCGACTATTATGATGATGATTACTATTATTATTGTACTGTCTGTACACAATTCAGTCGAGCTCGACACCACACGGAGATCTTCAATGTCAAGTAGGCTCAATGTTTCTATCAGATATGAAAACTCGTGATACAAGTTACTGTATTCTTTTTATACATGTGGCATGTGTTGCACCCCTTAAACAAACAAAAAATACTTGAGTTCTGTTGTGATTAAAATCAATAAACCACAGACGGGCTTTTTTCAGAACGCACTGATGGCCATGCTACTGACTGACAGCTTAGGTGGATATAGAACAAAGCTGAATTTTAGCTGAATACACTGCTCTTTTTTTCATGGAAAAATAAATACCCCCCCTCCCCAGCCCCCACCTACAGGTTCACAACTTTTTCTCACAATACAATACAGTATGACTTTTTATCGAGAAAAATTTTGTTTTACACACACACACACACACACACACACACACACACACACACACACACACACACACAGTTGAAAGAACTTCTTTAAGCTTTTTTTCAATAGTTTAACACTATAAACAAATATTCATTACATCAAAATTACAAATCCACGTGTTTGAAAAGGACATATCACGTGGACTCCAACCCCCCCCTTTTCAAAATAAAACAAAACAAAACAAAACAAAACAAAACAAAACAAAACAAAACAAAACAAAACAAAACAAAACAAAACAATAAATGCAACCCTCCTGACGAAAGACAAACATGACGTCACTCAGACTTTCAATTTGGAAGCTTCCGCGTTGGGTGTCAATCAGCTGCGGGACTTGAATGTGATTGGCTCGCCGGTCACCTGTGTTCGTGTACGTCCCCGCCTACTACGTGCACGCTTACTAGATATGCAATTTCAAGCCACCGAGACAAACGACAACGTTTTGAACACTCAAATTCTGTTTATTTTTCCTGGTCATTAACAAGGTCTGTTTCGAAGCAACAAAAACCAAAAGGCCCATAAAGCAATTGTGAGTACAGTTACTTGTGTTTTACAACTGTCAGTTACTGAGAAAAACTCGAGTTAGAGTTAGCTTGCACTAGAAGGAGTCGCAACTGTTTGCTCAGGGAACTATTCTCTTTTTCGCTCTTCTTTCAGTCATTTAAACGAGTCTAGAAGGGCTGAATAACGACTTAAAATGGACAAAATAATAAACAAGGTTGATGCTCGGTGTCTGCAGAACGGTTTCTTAAATGAGGAATGCATGGCATTCACTTGCTCCGATTTTTGAAAACGGTATAATTTTTTTTTTTTTGGGGGGGGGGTACAATTCATATTTAAGGTTCAATTGTGTCCTGTATTTTCTTTTCAAAAATATTTTGTAGGCCAGTAATAATAATGATGATGATATTGAAGATATATAATTGATTACTATAAGGCATTTTAACATGCTCGGGTTGTATCTTAATTGTGCTTGTATATTGAAAAATGTAATTTTATTGGTGGTTAATTTAAAATCTAGTGCACATATGTTGCTTATAAATTTAATTTAAATATTTTAAAAGGCTGTTGTTTAAATCCCATAGTATTATACTCCACTGTTGTAAAAATTTGAATACAACTGAAATGTAGTGAAAAAAAACTTACTGTACATACTGTACTGGAAAGTAAAAAAAAAAAAAGTACTGTATTGTGCTGGGTTGAAAAACAACAGAGAAAAAAAAGTAGTTTTGACACATTGTCCACATAGCAACACGCTTCATCCTGTTCATGTTGTATTGCATACAGGGATTTTTTTTAATTGTGGACCAGGAGAGAGCCTGCGTATCATGAGTGGGTTTTGTATCACGTGGACACTCATTGAGATATGCAATTTAGCTATCATTTCATCAATTCTCGATTAAGGACGAGTATTGTTAAGATTTTAAAAATACCAGTATTCTTAATGATAATGCTTACCGATCCGGTTGATGGTATTAGAATTGCTCCTTTTTTTTGTCTAGAAAAAACGCAAAATGAATATTAGAATGAACGTTGTTTGTTTGTTTGTTTGTTTTCTACACCTGCAGTGTAAATCAATCCAGCCTAACAATATAATTACGTTTTGATGTGATCTAACGTTGCTTTGCTTTCCAGGTCCATTTGAACCCCACAATGTGTTCCATTCCCGGGCTCCCGACACCAGGATCTGAAATAACCGTCGAGATCAGGAAGGTCAACCCGAACTCAAAATGTGGTCTCATGGAGCTTTGGGTCAACATTGATGTCAGCAGAAAGCATGCCTACGAGCAGATGAAGAAGCAGATCCAGCTTCCAGAAAGGAAGTTTTGTGGCTCCGAAGGAAAAACGGGGGATCTGTGTCTGGTTTGCAGCAGCAGCATGTGGCACAGGGCTCGCATCGTGTCCATACAAAGTGACACGTGCGAGGTCTTCCTTATCGACCAAGGACAGCCTTGCGTGAGCACATGGGATGCTCTGGCGTGGGGCCAGTCTGACAGCTTCTTCCTCCCTCCTGAAATAGAATTTTGTATCCTTGCCAACGTCATATCACTCAAGGAGAACTGGTCCAAAGATGCTTACAAGTTTTTGTCGTCCTTGCCTGAAAAGACGCTGAAAGGTGTGGTCCAGCACGTCCTGATGCCATCCAGGACAGTTCTCCTTGACATACCCTTCGTCTCTAAGCGTATGTGCACCCTTGGTGCTATGAGGAAGCTCCCGGCAGATGAGTTCAAAGGAGTTATTCTTGAATGCCTGACTCCACCCAAAGATGACGCACCCATTACCCTCTGTAAGGTGACCAAAGATCAGTGTGCTAATGTCCACCTTGATGACCGCTACGTCCAACCTGAGCTGCTCTGTGGCATCTACGAGACAGTTAACGTAACAGAAGTCACTGATCCCCAGAACATATTTTGCAATCTGCAGATTTACTCCAAAGCATTGGAGACACTGTCAGAAGAGATCCAACAGTTCTACAAGGAGTCCTCGGATTCCAGAGGGCAACGACCGCAAACCTGCGGGGAACCGTGCGCCGCCAGAGGGAATAACGGCACGTGGTATCGCTCGCTGCTCAAGCAAAGCATCGGAACCGACGACGAACTTGTGGAAGTTACACACGTAGATGTTGGGAAAACCGAGTTTCTTCCGGTGGGATGCATCCGACACGTGGGGAGGGAATTCCTGAAGATGCCCGTGGTCACGTATCACTTCTCCCTACATGGGCTGGACGACAACGGCAGCGGATGGACGGCAAAGCAGAATGAATATCTGAAATCGGTGCTGTTGAACAAGACATTTGTGGCCAAGCTGGAGAACCATTTCCAAGAGACTTATAGCGTCACTCTCTATGCTGGAAATGTCGCATCATGTATGAACAAAAGTTTGAAGGAGAAAGTGGAAGGTGTCCCACTTACTCGGGCTGAAGGACAGCAGCCAGAATTCCAGATTGAAGCCTTGTCACAGGAGCAGGAGCCAGACCTTCAGAACCTTGTGACTTTAAATATCAAGACGTCACTGAAAGAAGCTTTGTCAAGTACAGATTATAGACCAGATACTGACGACGTAGACACTCTCCCTTCTGTTCGCGGTGACGTGAAGATCATTGATGACCAACATATTTCTCAAATTTGTCATCATGAACATGTGTTGTCTGTTGGAAGTACTCTGGACGTGACTGTGTCCTGCGTCGAAGGTCCTCAGAAGTTCTGGTGTCAAAGCACTAAAAACGGCGAGACTCTGCGACGGCTGATGGGAGATCTGCAAAACCACTACGCCTCTGTCCAGCCTCTGCCCATGAAGTCCACCTGCGTCGCTCGTAACCCGGAAGACAGTTTGTGGTACAGGGCAAGAATCATTAGTAGTCATCATTCCCCTGAAGTGGAGGTGCAGTTTTTGGATTACGGCGGTACACGAAGCGTGCCCCTTGGAGATGTGTGCCCCATTGACCCGGTGTTTCTGCAGCTGGAACCGCAGGCCTTTCGGTGTTGCCTCGTCAACCGAAAAACTAATTCCTCATGGATCGATTCTACATCAGACGAGTTTCAAAGGTTTCTAGCGGCAGGCGGTTCTCAACAGACCGGATTCAAATGCACAGTCAAACACGTGACTTGTGATGAAGAGGGCCAGCCGGTTGTTGTGGTAGACATTGAAACGGCATCCCAAAGCGCTTGCAGTTTGTCATCTCTCGTCCCCACGGACACGTATAAATATTCCACATTCGATATGGAGTCGGGCACAAAAGAGAAGGCATGGATAACCTCGTCAGAGACGGTGCATCGCTTCTTCTGCCAGCTGAACAGAAATTCTCATTTGTTCGACAAAGTGAAGGCGGACGTTCAACAGATAGTCGGCAAGTCGCAGGGTTCGGCCGACCTCGTCAGTTCCGATGGCCTTTGCCTCGTGCGGTATGATGACAATGAATGGCACCGAGGAAAAGTGGTGCAAACAACTCCGGACCTCAAGGTGCTCTTTGTGGACTATGGCGACACCCTGACGGTGAATGCATCTGATGTTCAACCTTTGCCTGCCGGTGCGAGCATGGCAAAGTCCGTCCCTGTACTAGCCGTTCACCTCGGACTTTTCGGTGTTCCGGCTGATGTACCGCAAGAGGTCAACCGGTGGTTTGCAAATCACGCCACCGGCGCCACTGTAACTGTTTCTGTGGTGGCCAAAGGCGATGGTGGGAAGCTATTGGTGGAATTATTTGAAGGGCTGCTGAATATCAACGTCATTGTCAGAGAAAAGGTGGCGCACGCAAAACGAGTCAGGACCAGTCAAGATCGACGGGCCAACCAGGAGGTTGCCTCAGAACGGGTCAACCCAACACATGAGGGTTCATTACCTGAAGAACTCGCTTGTATATCAAAACTACAAGAGCATAATAACGATCATAACGGCAAGGGAACTTATGCTTCGGATGAGCAACCGTTGGAAACGTCTCCGTACATGACTGCTGAACCCAGACGAGATTGTGAAGAAACGGTGCTTGATGAGGAAAGTACACGTTCGAATGCCACTGCTGAGGTTTCAACAGAGACCCCAAAAGACATCCATCCCGACGATGCTGTAGTGCCACCGCCTGAAAAGAGCTCCGCATACCACCCCCCAATCATACGTCACCACACGTCCCAAGAGATGTACGCCTCCTGCATTGTGGGACCCAGTTACTTCTGGTGTCAGTTCGCCCGCACCGAAAACCTGGACTCGGTGTCAAGACTCACCCAGAGCGTAGGTGAGACTCTGAAGGACACAGAGGTCCCTAAGTATTTGGATCCCGGCAGTCCGTGCCTCGCCCTCTTTTCCGCTGACTCCCAGTGGCATCGCGCACAAGTTCTTCGGAGGACCGACGGCGTGGTCTGCGTCCTCTTTGTGGACTATGGAAATGAATCTGAGGTGGACGTTCAAGACGTGAGATACCTCCCCAGCTCTCTGATCGAACATGCTCCTCAGGCCTTTTTGTGTTCTTTGGATGGATTTGATGAGTCCAAGGGATCCTGGGACGATCAGGTTTACGACGACTTCTACAATCTCCTGGTGGATAAGCTCCTCTCCGTGACCGTGCTTAGTGCACAAGAACATTCAGAGATTGGCATTCAAGAACACTCCGTAAAGATCCAGTGTGCAGGTCGAGATTTGAATGAGGCCATGCAAAGATACTGGAAACCCATTTCCACAGAGACCGAGGTTGAAAAGATTCCGACAGCCGGTCCCCCTCAACCATCTTACCCAAGCACGCAGTCCAACACGAGCCATCTTGAGGAAGATGCAAAAGCATTCTCATACAAGAGGCCAAACATCCCCTTGAACAAAATGGAGGTCTATGCTTCTTGTATTGTGGAACCCCATTTTTTCTGGTGTCAGTTTGCCAACACGGAGGTCCTCGGCAATCTGGTGCGACTGGCGCAGGAAGCAGGACAAGCGGCGACGAATCCTTCGTCCGCAAGCACCTTTGGACCCGGTGGCCCTTGCCTGGCACTCTTTTCTGCAGACAACCAGTGGTATCGAGCGCTGATCTTGAGCAGAGAGGAAGATCAAGTCCACGTTGTGTTTATCGACTATGGCAACGAATCCGACGTGGACGTGAAAGATGTGAGACGTCTCCCTCCGATTTTGCAGGAGTGGACGCCTCAGGCCTTTTTGTGCTCTTTGAGCGGGTTTGACCAGTCGAAGGGCACCTGGGAGGATGAAGTTTATGATCACTTCTACGATCTTCTCGTGGATAAACCTCTCCGCGTGGTGGTGTCCCGTATAGCAGAGCATTCGGACATGATGCTTCCTCAGCATGTGGTGGAAATTGAGAGCGAGGGAGTGTCTGTCAATGCAGCAATGCAGAAATACTGGAAACCAACCACTCAATAACGTCTTCCATTCCCTACGAGGGAAGCCAGTTGGTCGCAAATGCAAATATGTACACGAAGACAAATCTCTCCAAAATAAATCTGGGATGCTTTCTACCCTGCGGGACGCCAGTGGTATCGAGTTGTATGCAGAGAACTGCAGAGTCCACGTGATTGTCGACTGTGGCAACGATTTAGTCGTCGTAACACAACCGATGGGTCGCTACTTGTTGCAAGTATATATGGTCATGTTGTCTTTAATCATTTAAGTAAATAAAGGGCATGTTTTGCAACAGTGTGTTTTTGCAAACTAGAGGTGTCAAAATTCATCGACAAGTGATCTGTGATCAAGTCAATCGACTACTATTTTAAAAATGAGTTATCGTTTAGGGCCAATTGTTTAGTGCTAAAAATGAGCAAAATCCTTTTATTTCACCCTCGCAACAGTAAATACTCTCTGATTATGATCAGAATAAGACATTTGAAAACATTTGATTTTACTTTGGAAAATAATAATAGAACCACTAACTGAGTCCGTTTTAAAAAGATTTGTAAGTACCACCCTCTCGTGTGGTATTGCTTAATCGTTGTTTAGTTTTTATTTTTAATCATTTAATGATACCAAATAAACAGCCCCAGGAGAGAAAAAAAAATCCTGCAGCAGTCCCTGCTTGGGAACAAAAAAAATCTGACTGGTTGGTTATGTGTGTGTGGTGTTATTTGTTGGTCATCACACACTATAGGGTCGTAAGAACACACTTGCCCATTTTTTCATTGTTTTTTGTGAGGTCTCTCACATAAAAAAAAAAAAAAAAAGTGGGGAAAAAAATCTGCAAGGACCCTGCTTTAATTAAGACTTCAGGTTTCAAACAAAGCACTTAAACCAGATACCACTGTATCAATTTATGAAGCAATGCCCTAAATCTTGGTCCAGTTTTCCTTCTGGTTATGCATCCAAATTGTTGGTTAAAACAAAGATAGCAGGTACTGACCCCCTCGTTTATGTGGACTTGACTATAGCTGTAAGGCGAACATATTAAACTTCATCCTCTGAACCACTCATTGCTACAAGTCCTCCAGAAGGTGGCAGCATTGCTCTGGAGGATTTGGCAGGTTTGTGACTATGTGTTGAACACTGTTACCAAGCAACCACCTGGGACAGCATGTCAGAGTTGCACCAAGCAGCTGCGGTGGGGGATTTTGATCAGGTCTGGGAGATTCTGAGGCGCAAGAAATGTGACCCCAATCAGCGAGACGTGGACTGGGGCAATAAGACGCCTCTGCACTGGGCTGCAGCCAATGGTAACATTTTTTTTAGGATAAAGTCTAAAGTCTCAGGTGTGCGTATATTCAGTGCTTGAAGTCTTTCTTTCCTGAGGTTTATGGTCCTTCCTGTATAGTCCAGCATTGTACAACTTTTCCTCTCTGAGTAGGAGACGTAGAAACGGCGAGACTTCTCATCGAGCACGGAGCCCGGCCATGCCTGAGGACGGAACTGGGCAGAACTGCGGCGCACTTTGCCGCCGAGACTGGTTCTCTGGGGGTCCTGAGGCTGCTGCACTCCTTCCACGCCCCCCTGGACAAGGAGGATTCTGGCGGCGACAGACCGGCGCGGATCGCCCAAATCTATGGACACCGTGAGTGTGTCACATTCCTCAGAAAGTAAGACTTTTTGACAGAACGAAATCCAGTCCTACTGGTCTCGTTCATGTCGTTGGGTTCTTGTTTTGGCTGGATTCCACATTTTTTGTTTGGACTCAATGACAGTTGGTATATGTCAACCAATCATCAGCGTAGCTCTTGTGATGTCACACCTGTTATGCGGCCAATCGGGTGCATGTATACTCTTAGCAAGAAAGTGTAGAATGGTATAGCGTCCTTGCAAAAAGATTGCCTTGTTAAATACCTCGTTACATCTCAAATAAATAGTTTCTTTTTCTCGAATTCATATTTTGTCTCATTTTGACATTCTATTGTTGTTGCAGGGCAGAGGCAGAGGGGGAGACATACCGCAAAATAGTGGCTGAAAAAGGCCTGTCTGTGGATGACACTGATGAAGAGTGGGAAGAACAATGCAAAGACCAACGTGAAGGAAAAATAAAATTTGTGATAAAATAGTATTTCCCAGAGTTTTAAATGCACCCCTTTGAGTGTTGCAAAAAATGTATAAATGAAGCCCGTTTGTAGCCCTTAATGGTTATTCATGCACACATGACGAGTTAAACCGAAATTTGACTGAACAAGTTTGCATTAAGCCTCAAGGCACACTTTGAAATAAACATTCCTAAAATAATCTCAGAGAGTCTTTCTGTTTATTGGTTTGTTGTTATTTTAATTAAACTTCAAAAGTGATACTTTGTAATTGTATTTAAATTTTGGTAAGAAAACTAAATACTGAAAAACTTCAACTTCAAGAAAATGTTATAACGACGGAGAAAATAATTTAGAATGTTTGCAAATAAGGTTTGTAGCGGAGAACCTTTTTCGGATATGACGTTAGTGGGCGGGGCTTTCATCGATGACGAGCGGAAGCCGCTAAAATCAAAACTGGTTGCGAAACGCACCGTCAATGAACAAACAACAAGTTGACATTTTCCCGACAAAACAAGGTGACGGGCGCCCTCTCAACATGGAGCCGGCGAAAGGTAACAGACACCCGTGTGGCGTTGGTTGAGCCGTGAGCGTCAAGTTTCAACGGTAGCTTACCGGCATTTGCTAACGTTAATGCTAATGCTGAAGCTACAAGGGACGGTTACAGTCTGCACGCGCCATTTTCCACCACTGTCACTCTGGTCCACAGGAGTTTTAAGTCACCTGAGTGCGCTGGAGGTTCGGGCGAGGAGCCGCCAAGTTCAGCCCCGGCAGCGGAGTCGCGTGGAGGAGCTGCGGGCTCGCGCGGAGGCGCTGACCGTCCAGAGGGACCGGCTGAAGGCTGAGATCCACGCGCACAAGGTAAAGGAAGAGAATCCATTACCTGACTGGAAATGTACATTATGTATGATCAACATTTATTTACAGCGCACTGAGAAACAGTTGCTGTTATTTTGCCACGCACTAAATAAGTTCATGTAGCGTTGTAGACCACTGCAAACAAGCACAATAAGAAAATGATTGCATTCGGTTCACGGCTGCAACTCACAATTTGTTATTTTGTTTGCTATGATATTAATCTGCTTCAATTAATCGACGAATCAGATCAAAATAAATCCAAACGTTCATTCAAAAACAAGACAAACTGACATAGCAGAAAATGCACAAACTGATTGATTATTAACAAATTGGTTATGATTCAGGGACTGGTTTCGTCTGTCAAATGTTTGGAAATAGGCCAAACTGTTGATCACTGTGTTTACAGATGGCTTCTCTAATTACAGGGTTCCAGTGGATCCTTTGAAATCTCAAAATAAATTAACATTCTTTAGAAAAATGAATGTCTATTTGTCTAATGACTTGTGGTAACACCCATGCAATGATGACAGAAGAACCAACAAAACAGTGATATGGTTTTAGTCAGGACTCTTTTATTTTTTACTTTCAGATTGAAACCTGTTCACAAAAATTACACTTGAAAATAAAATGTATATAATGTGTTTTTTGGGGGGTTTTGTTTTTTAGGAGTAGAACAATATAAAGTCCCAGTAATTCACAATCTTACAAAAAAAACATAATTTCACATACAAATAATCCGAATGTTGTGGTTTTGTCTATTTTTATAGGAATAATTTAATATTGATTTTAGTTTTTGACTTTTTTAATGTCAAATTTTGACCATTACTCATTCAAATTATGACTCTCTTCAAAACCTTTTTCTAAAACGCAAACAAACTGCAAAACAACTTTTTTCTGACCACATTGCCATTACATTGATTAATGACGACTAAGAAGGGATTTCTACTAATTCGTTGACAATGATGTCCTGCTCAGGGCATTGAAAAACACAAGACGCGACTGAACAATCGGGGTGCAGCGGCAGCAGAAGAAGAAATGGAGACTGAAGACAACGAGAATGAACAACTTTTGCATCTGATTGCCAGAGTAATGGACCTGAAACAGCTTCTGTATGCTCATCACATCATTGGTACGCTTCCATTACTCACTACTTGGACTCAGCAACATGGCCATAAAATCAAAAGTGCCCCCCCTCCCTTATTTTACATATATACATATACACTTTTTTTTTTTTTTTTTTTTTTAATTGCTAGGTGGCTACGACATCACCAAGACCCGCAGGGGGAAAGGCATCTGCGTGACTCTGTCGACCGCCTACGAGGGCGTCTATCTGGAAACGTACAACATGGAGTTGGACGTCGGGCCGACGCTGAAAATCAGTCGCCACAACGTGCCGCCGTTTATCCCACTGGGCGAGCTTTGCGAGCCGGCCGGTCGGCAGAAGGACCTCAGGGGCTTCCTGGACCCGCTCTTGACGCGCCTCAACGCCTTCGCGGGCCGCAGGCAGCAGCTGAGGCTTGTTAAGGTGACTTTCTCGTTTTCTCCCTGGTACCGCAAAATTAAGCGCCATGGATCTGCTTTTCCCCAACCGACCCAGCGCCACTGCATTCCACAATTAGAGATAATTTGGAGTTCCCGCAAAATTGACGAATCATGGCCGCAACAGATGCGTGAATGAAGTGCCTTTTTCTTCTACACGGAATCCAGTTAGTTGTGTACATTTTCACACTGACACACAGCATACCCATCCTGGCTTTACAACATATCCTCACTAGACGGCAACACTGAAAAAAATGTTTCATTTTGATTTTGGCAGTCAAGTAAGCACACCCACTCGGGGCTGCATGCTAAATTTTTTTACGAGGGGTACAGTGGCCCCGATCTTGAAATTTTATGGGTCCAGGTAGAAAATTTAGGGACGCGTACTGTGAATTGATTTACAAAGTAAATCTTCACATTTCCACTCATTTTCCCTATACCTACTGTTAAATGAGCTGAAGTTTGACACAGAAGTTTGTCAACCACAAAAAATATTTAAAAAAAAAATAGTCAGAATTTCAAAAATAAACCGGAGCAAAAAAACAAAACAAAACAAAAAACACTCAGAGCAGAAGTGTGGCCTTGTTTACTCAGGAGCTCCATCCATCAGTGACGGTGATGGAGAGCAACATGCTGTGTTCCATCCTGGTGATCTTGCTGAGCACGCCAAGAGAGAAGACGACACTGCTCTGCACCCTGAACTATACGGACCACACCAGATGTCTGCCCACGGGGGTCCACTTTGACTGTGAAGGTGGGTGACTGAAAGAGGACTTTTAAAACATCATCGAAGGCTCTAAATTGTCCATAGTAGTGAATTGTAGAGCTGAAATTGAGTAAAGCACACTTATTTGATCAGAATGGGCTGCAAAATCTGTCAGGGAAAAGCCTTAAATGTCACTCTCCGATATCATGAGCAATTTCGTCTTTTTCCAGACAAGAAGCTTCTGGAGTCTTCCAAGTGGAAAAACAACCGCAAGCTTCTCATGGAGACGCCAGTTCACAAAGCTTTGGGTGCCATGAAAAATATGGATTGCATTGGTTAGGCGTCATACACACTCCCGCTGATCGTTTTTGTCCTGGAGCCTCTGAATGAATTCCGTCACCTTATCGTGCAAGCACTCCCTCTGAAGGAGCCTTGTCTTCTCCACCTGCTCCCGAGCCTCCCGTCGCCGCTTCTCCGCCTCCCTTTCTGATATGGTGTCGATGGCGGCGATGCTTTTCACTTGCACAAAGGACAAGCTCCTCCGCAGACGTACTCCCCCGCTGCTCGCTGGGGGTGCCGACACGGACCTCGGAACCTCGCCGTCCACGCGGGTGACGATTTCCTTCATGGCCACGTCCACCGTGGCTTTGGGCTCGCAAGCCTTCACCATCAGCACCTGCCTACGCTCGCTTCGCAGCCAGTGTTGTCGTCGTTGCAGCATTCGGCAGGTGTACCTGAATTCTTTTTCCAGCTGGTCCAGCTTGAGACGAAGATCTCGTTCGTCCTTCTGGTTGAGCACCCTCAGCTGTACTACTCTTGGCTCCATTAGTCCTTATGGAGTGTTTCTGTCGATGTATTTTTTATTTTTTTTTAAACATTGTGTTTTCTCCAACCGAAGCCATTTGCTGCTATGGCTGTGTCACTGCGTGTAATGTAATATACCCATTGTGTTTGAGGTTGTCGGTAATCTTGCAGTGGCACGAACCTTGCGAGATTGTGTTTCAAGAGGCCTTCAGGGTCTTGTGCTGCTGTACAGATAAAGTGTTGTAATTGACTGTTTTGGGAGAAAAAAATACATGAAAAATACTAGCAAACAAATAAAAAAAAAAACCCTCTGAAAACATTATACGATACAAAATTGTTTGACATGTTCATTAGAAAAGTAAATCAATATTACAGAAGTACTAACAGAAAATACAAATATCAGGAAAAAGTCAAATATATATTTTTCGGGAGGAAAAAAGTGCTAAATTAAAATTCCACGTGTAATAATGAAAATAAAAAAAAATCATTGGGGTTTCTTGTATGTTGTTTTAGAAAAGTAATAGAGAAATACTGTATTTGACAAAATTGCCAAAATCGTATGGTTTTAGGTTAGAAATAAAAATATATTTTCGAAAAATAAAACCATTTCTTAAAAAAAGCTACATCAGCCGAGTCAGTGTTACTTATAGCCCACATTCACGATAGAAGTTACAGCACCCCAAATAAAGATGTTTTTATTAGCTTCTAAAAATTACATTTGTTTTTCTTAATAATGTAGGACTTTTTTAAAGAGCAAAAATCAAACCTTGCCGTGGGTAAATGGCATACAGTATTCATAAATGTCGATATATTGGTCGGAAGCGTAATTTTTGTATTTCAAAATGAATTCGGCCAATATATTGGAAATTTTGGATAAAACACCACACTTTGTATTTGTGTGTTTTTTGTTATATATTCTTTACCTCTGTCTTTGTACCACTACACCGTCTGTTATGTTTATATGTTCTGAGTCCTAAAAAAAAAACATAAAAGGCAACTTGCCGCCTCTTTCCGTAATGACGTAATTCCCGGTACAGCTGGTCCAGCTTGAGACGAAGATCTCGTTCGTCCTTCTGGTTGAGCACCCTCAGCTGTACTACTCTTGGCTCCATTAGTCCTTATGGAGTGTTTCTGTCGATGTATTTTTTATTTTTTTTTAAACATTGTGTTTTCTCCAACCGAAGCCATTTGCTGCTATGGCTGTGTCACTGCGTGTAATGTAATATACCCATTGTGTTTGAGGTTGTCGGTAATCTTGCAGTGGCACGAACCTTGCGAGATTGTGTTTCAAGAGGCCTTCAGGGTCTTGTGCTGCTGTACAGATAAAGTGTTGTAATTGACTGTTTTGGGAGAAAAAAATACATGAAAAATACTAGCAAACAAATAAAAAAAAAAACCCTCTGAAAACATTATACGATACAAAATTGTTTGACATGTTCATTAGAAAAGTAAATCAATATTACAGAAGTACTAACAGAAAATACAAATATCAGGAAAAAGTCAAATATATATTTTTCGGGAGGAAAAAAGTGCTAAATTAAAATTCCACGTGTAATAATGAAAATAAAAAAAAATCATTGGGGTTTCTTGTATGTTGTTTTAGAAAAGTAATAGAGAAATACTGTATTTGACAAAATTGCCAAAATCGTATGGTTTTAGGTTAGAAATAAAAATATATTTTCGAAAAATAAAACCATTTCTTAAAAAAAGCTACATCAGCCGAGTCAGTGTTACTTATAGCCCACATTCACGATAGAAGTTACAGCACCCCAAATAAAGATGTTTTTATTAGCTTCTAAAAATTACATTTGTTTTTCTTAATAATGTAGGACTTTTTTAAAGAGCAAAAATCAAACCTTGCCGTGGGTAAATGGCATACAGTATTCATAAATGTCGATATATTGGTCGGAAGCGTAATTTTTGTATTTCAAAATGAATTCGGCCAATATATTGGAAATTTTGGATAAAACACCACACTTTGTATTTGTGTGTTTTTTGTTATATATTCTTTACCTCTGTCTTTGTACCACTACACCGTCTGTTATGTTTATATGTTCTGAGTCCTAAAAAAAAAACATAAAAGGCAACTTGCCGCCTCTTTCCGTAATGACGTAATTCCCGGTATGTACTTCCTTGTTCGCTGTGACAGCGCTTTGCTAACTCGTCTTTTTAGCTAACTGCTGCTCCAGCCTCTCCCACTCAGTCATGATGTGGAGGACGCCGGTGTATTAGTGGCATAATAACCCGCATGTCAACGACACTCTTTGGGTCTAAGTCGAAAAGACAGCCGGTGGAGAATATTTGGACTCGATGAATTGATCCCCAAAATTTCGTTATTAATTCGTCCAGAGGGTAAGCGTCTACTTTTTTATGGCTACAGTTGTGCTAAAGTTAGCTTAGCACCGTGTCGAAAGTTCAGCCCGGCAGCAGTGTTTGACATCGTACCCATAAGCATTTTAGTCAGATTAAAGTCCGGTTCAAAACTGAAATACTTTGTTCTTTTTACCACAATCTAAGTTTTGATTCAGTGGCTAGTAAGAAGTGGCGGAGGCCGAAACTGAAAGTGTATAATCTAACCCTCATCTTTTATACAGAAGTGACAGTTAGAAAAAAAAAGATAAAATACCGGTAACCATTATTCAAAGTAGTGTTTTTTTTTTTTTTTTTTTGTCCAGGCACACATTCGCGAAATCTCGCCGCACGCCACCACACTTAAATATCATGAAAAGTCTGTGTAAAGAAACAGACAAGTTAATCATGCACCCCCAGCCCGTCACTATATGTCGTTAGCTCAGATAGACGAACCAAAATATATGAATTTCCCTACGGCACACCTGCTGATCCCGTGACACTGTGGGTGTAAATCATTGATTTAAGGTACAGGAGTTCATTAAACTCTTGCACGTTTATTACAGAAGCAAATAAATAGACAAAGCTTTGGAAACTATGACAAAATGAAGTCTTCAGATTGAAGTGTTTGACAAATATAATAAACCTTCACATGGGCATCATTAGTTGCACGAAGCACATCAAGACACACTCGATTTCTAGCCCAGTTTCTTTAATTAATGTTGAAATGGCATAATTGATCTATAGAGAACGTTCAGGGGAGTGATATCCGTTTCCAAGTGAACTGGATCCTCGCTTACAGCCTGGAAACGTTTTGAAAATGAGCCCACAAACATGCTGTATCCAATGTTGCGCAAACACATTGTGACAACTTTCAGACTCACTGAGTACCTAAAACATCATTCATTTCTTATGTAGCAAGAAATTAAACTTTGTGGACACACTTGTAAAGTAAGATGTCTACATGATGTTTTACGGTACTTCCTTTTTTTTTTTTTAGTTAGTTCACACACTTCCTCATTTAACTTGCATAAACTAAAAATGTATGTCGTCCTGCATTCTTTTTGACATGACATTGTTCATTTCACCAGAACCTCCAACATGGACGACCCCAACAAACCTCGCAAAATGTCCACGGCAGGGGACAGCCTGTACAAAGTCCTGGGCTTGCAGAAGGGAGCATCGCCCGATGAGATAAAAAAGGCCTACAGGTGGGTTTGACTGTATCAAAGGACACACTTTTTTGTTTTTCTTAAAACTCATTGTCGTAGTCATTAACAATGCCTTTCACCCCTCCAAAAAATGTTCCCACGATAAATAAAGTTGTTTAGTTCGTATGAAGTGAATCCATTTGTTCTGAATCTAAACTGGCACCATCATTAAAACTTGATTAACTGCACAGGCAATGTTTTAAGTTCCATTTTAATATTCTTAGCTGTCACACAAGTGAAGTGAAACACTGTTTATATATGAAAATAAATGCAACCAATAACCACAAGCGATTTGAAGAGAGGAGGAGGAGGGGGAGGCAACCTGGAGGCATTACAATATTTCAAATTGAGAGTGCAGAAAATTCACAAACATGACTTAAGATTCACTAGTTTGGTCTGTCACATGTCCAAAAATCAGAAATAGCGTTGACCATTGTTTTCCAAAGTAACGTTTTTGGAATATAAATAAATGTAGTTATTTAACCAATTTGGGCGAAATGACTTAAAATGTTTGAAGAGAATGGTGGGCCATACTTTGCCCAGACCCGCTTTAGCTTCTTACCGATTTGAAGTCATCACTCACAAAGGTTGGTATGGTCTGATTCTTTCCGTGGTGGTGTCTCCCGCAGGAAGCTGGCGCTGCGGCACCACCCGGACAAGAACCCCGACAACCCCGAAGCGGCAGACAAGTTCAAGGAGATCAACAACGCCAACTCCATCCTGAGTGACGATAACAAGCGTAAGATCTACGACGAGTACGGCTCCATGGGCCTCTATGTGGCCGAGCAGTTTGGCGAAGAGAGCGTCAAGTACTACTTCCTCATGTCCAAGTGCTGGTTCAAGGTGAGTTGCAGCGTAAAAACCAGGGGCAAAACGGTTTCGTGAATCTCCACATATTTGCGATTCACAAATTCACCGAGTCACGTCGTCGCTGAAAAACGTACCTATTTGCAGAATCGCTGCATACTGGGCTCTATCGGTAACGCCCTCAGTGGTGCAAAGTACCAACGTAACAATGTAGCGTTCTACTCCCCAAGTATTGACACTTGATTTTGCACGATGCCGCTTCAGGCCCTGCTGTTTTGTTGCGGCATCCTCACATGCTGTTGCTGCTGCTGCTGCTGCTGTTTCTGCTGCGGCAAGTGCAAGTCTTCCGAGGACGAAGAAAGAGACTTCTACGTGGACCCAGAGGACCTGGAGGCGGAGATCAGAGAGCAGGAGGAAGGTGAGCCGCAGCTTTCCGTCTTTCGGGCCGACTTTGGTCACCGCGCGCGTTTACGAGAAAGTCTCCCGCGTGCTGCATTCAAGAAAAAGTGGGAAGTTTCAAGGCTTGATTTGGTTCTTCACCCTGCGCTTTGAAAAGATTTCCTTCATTTAGCATTCACTGCAAATGAAGAAATGTTATACCTCTGACACGGTTGTTGTTGGGTTTTTTTTTTGTCTGCACTGTCAGACAGAATTGACAACCCCCTTTTTATTCACTTTAGAAACATCATACATTTCCACATGAAAATCAAAAAATCGACCAAATATATGATTTTTTTTTTTTTTGCCGTTTAAAAAAATAAATTGCAACATGAACACATTACAGCATAAGACAAAGAAAATCATCAAAAAAAATTTAAATACCGAATGAAAAAGTTTAGTAAAACTCTCAAATATTCTGCCTCTACTTCGTGTCTTCATTGTAGGCGTTAAGGGACCAGAAAATAAGTTATTTTATTAATTTTTAAAAAATTGGTTTTACGAATCTTAGTATGCCAAATATCGTAGTCGTCCTTAAAAAAATGCACGTAATTTGCCCCCCTAGTTCTTACAGTTCTGCACTCACTAGCTCGAGAAGGTGCATTCACAAAAACTGGGACATTTCAGACCTCTGGTACTGACTTATTTCAAAATTTGAGGCTTTCTGAATTGTGTTGTGTGATGTTTCACAGCACGAGACAATGTAATTGTTATTCAGCCGAGCTCGTCTGCCACCGTCGACGCTTCCGGCAAAGGTGACGCCGCGTCAGGTAAAGTTGGGCTCAACACCGGCGTGTCGGCACATTTTCAGAAACGGGCAGCTCACAAAAGATTGACGCTTGTTTAATGTCACACTAGATGGCCAGGCACACCACAGACCTTAATTAAAAAAAAAAAATTCAACTAGACATTAAATAGCAGAGGTAGGCGACTGTTGCCGCAATACTTGACTCAAGTCACGTGACTCGACTTGTCCGACTTGAGCCAGCAATTTCGTGCCTGACTTGGTGAAAACTTGGAAGACTTGAGTTGACTTTGACTTGCTACGCATGTGACTTGACCTACAGATGAACTGCATGTCTTTTCAAGTCTTGTTTGTATTTTCAAGATAGTGTGCCTTTTATTTTGAAAGAAAAAAAAAACAGATGTGAGCTTTGGAGTGTCATCAGCAGGTTGTGGAGAGTCACAGAATGACATAAAAGTGGGGGCACCCTCGGAACTTTTCGTCTTGCTCCCTCCCTCCTCCTCTGCGCTACTCGCCGGAAAAAGGCGACTGTCCAAAATTAACTTCAAAGAGACGCTGCAAGCAGCCTTTCAAACGCCTAAGATGGGGGTCGGCAACCTGCGGCTCTGGAGCCGCATGCGGTTCTTCAGCGCCGCCCTAGTGGCTCCTTTGGAGCTTTTTCAAAAATTCTTGAAAAAGGAAAAAGATGGGGGAGGGAATTTTTTATTTTAATATGGTTTCTGTAGGAGGAAAAACATGATACAAACATTCTTAACGTTTTCCAATGCTGTAAAAATGTGTAGAATAAATATTAAATTTCAACATTTGTGCGTGCGTATGCGTGGGTGTGCGGTAACGGGTCGATCGCAATTTAGTCATTTTGATAGTAGGCTAATACATCAAATGCAGACACATACAGCTTGTGTTGCCTTCATAATAAGGCTTTTAATTTTTTGCGGCTCCAGACATTTTTTTTGTTTTTTTGTGTCCAACATGGCTCTTTCATCATTTTGGGTTGCCGACCCCTGGCCTAAGAAGTCCGCTTAGCTCGTTACCGATGACAGACAGGATTAGCGGTGATTGAAAGCTTGACTTTATAAAACTTACCACAAATCGTCAAACCGGTAATTGCCCCTTGCCTACTCGAAACTAGACAGTTCTGACCTGCACATTACTCCCACCAAAAGTCACTTTTAGACCCAGTGTCACTATTAAATGTTCTTTCCTTAAGCCTCTAGGTACTTTGTATGAAAACTTAATTTTTGATTTTGATTCATTTTACCACTGCAGGCGAGGACACGCCCATCGTGAATCAGCCCCACGCCAGCAACGGCTCCACCTTTTCTGCCGCCGCCGCCACCCCAGCCGCCGTGCATCTGACGGTCGAGGAGTGAATGCCCCGAAACACCCCCATTTCAGAAGTTTGGATCCAATTCTTTTTTTTTCCTTTTTTTAATCGGGACTCCGACATCTCAGAGGGGCTTCTTTTGTTTACAGCAGCAGTTATTTGGGGGTTGTTTTTCGGTGCCACAGGGTATGCTTTTGGATCCTCTCATGTTTTATAAGGGACTGTGCAGAAAACCGCAGGCCGCTGCCGCCACCAGATTTTATTTTTTTTGTCTTAGCACTGTTAGAATGACCCTTACACTGGGTTGGGCCAAAACGAAGTGTACACTTTTATTGAATGTTGTATTATATATTTTTTAAAATTACATTGACAGTTTTTTCCTCTCCCTCCGTGTTGCTTATTATATATTCATAGCAGTGAAAACAATCCGTAGCGCTCTGTTTGTCCACCTGTTTTGTAATTTGCTGGTAGATGGAGAATAGTCGAGAGTTGTCGTCATCATTCATGCGGGGGGGGTTGGACGTTTCCAATCGTTCCCTATATGAATTCCGTGGGTAAAACAAAAACGGCGCACCAAAATGGATCGCAATATATTTACGTGGTGCACTATTCCTTCACAAAGGTTTGCGGGTCTTTGGTGCTGTATTCATTTGTGCAAACTTGCTGCATCCTTATGTTAGTTTTACAAGTCATATTGACTGCTGTCAAAAAAAAAAAAGTTCATTATAAGAACAAAACGATCAGTGACCCAAAATTTCTGCACAGTTTTATGTCTATTTGGGAGAGCGTCACGGAAGCCTCTCCGAGCACTTTGACAACACTTGCCAAAATACGGTGTCCGCCTTTACCTACGGGCAACCGGCGACAGTGAAAGCGTTTCACAATTGTCCGAAATTCAACGTTACCCCATCGTAAGATGCTGTTTGTTCATCGCCGAAAATTGGCCTTTCGCTGTGAAATTTCTGGCCCAACCTGAAATGCGCGGTCACCTTTCCAGGTGAACTGAATTCGATCGTTCGGAAACTTGAGAACACACGTGGATCCATAAACCGTGCAATCCATTTATCAAAGACGTTCCTTTCTGTGACTCTCCAGTCTCTCTGCGTTTTGCAGTTTGTCATTGAGGTTCTTGTTGGAGGCAGCAGCAAAAGGGTGTGCAAAACGTACAGAAATGCTGAATAGCTGGACACGTGCATTCATTCAAGTTGAGAGAAAGCCAAATGAAGCTCACTTGGAAATATTGTAGCGCAGTCTAGGTTCAAATTTCAAAGCCTTTTGAGTCGCATATACGTAAAATATAAACACTATGATCATCATGTGCAAAGCCAAACATTTGCTATTTCCGTTTTTTTTTTTCGTGGCAACATTACATCATTGTGATGTTTTGAGGTAGAAGCCAACTCTATAGTTTTTTTTTTTTTTAGCTGTATCCACATGAACATGAGATAAAGTTCAAATGTGATCGTTTTTTGTTTTGTTTTTTTGCGGGGGCACACTCAAATTCAAAGACCCCGCCACCCCACTTTGAATTTGAGTGTGCCAAGCGGTCCGACATGAGAAATGTATTTAAATCATTTTAGTCGATAACTTGAATGTCTCTTTTTTTGACATTCCCGTGAGTATCATATTTACTTGCCCAATGCTGTAAAAAGGTGTTTTTGTTCTTTTTTTTTTCTTTTTCTTTTTTTGACTGAATAAACTCAGGTTTCACTGAATGCAGTCTGCTTGTAGCATTATCTACCCCCCCACCCACCACTTCAGTCAGATAGCGTGAGTGAGAACAGGTTGCCGTTTTCCCAGTTCGATGGCCGTGGAGTCGGAGAAGCACCTGCTGCTGGAGCCTCTTTCCTGGTCTGTTACTTAAAATTCTTCTGCTCAACATTTGCGTGTCCTGACCGGTTTGTCTCGTCTCGTCTCAGCTCGGACTCGGAGGGCAGCGAAGACGTCGAGTGGTCGTGCGGTGATGGTGGCGAGTTGGACACGGGGGAGAGTGGCGAGAGGCGCCGGGCCGGAAAGAAACTCGTGTTCGCCTTGGTCGTCAGCCTGCTTTTTATGGTTGCCGAGGTGTTCGGTAAGACGATGAGTAGTCTTTCAACTTTTAGGCTGTACATATTTATTAAGTGGGCGGGGGGTGTCATATTTTGACGTGGAAGGATTCGGTTGAATTCCATGCGCTCACAAAACTGATTTTTTCGATTCAAGAATGTGTGTGTGTGTGTGTGTGTGTGTGTGTGTGTGTGTGTGTGTGTGTGTGTGTGTGTTAAAGGTAACACACACACTGTGTGTTACCTGTATTTGTATATCCTTTCTGATCGTATTTTACAACGAATACTATCCTGTCCTATCTAATCACGTCCTATCCTGTCCTGTGTACTATAGTACACAGGACAGCATATCACATCCTTTCCTCAGATCATATCTACTGTAGTCCTTGCCGGTCCTGCATTGTTTAGTGCTGTCCAATGCTTTCGATCTCCACCCGATCGAATCCTGTCCTGTCCTGTCCTGTCCTATCTCCAGGTGGGTACGCCGCACACAGTCTGGCCATCATGACAGACGCGGCACATCTCCTGAGTGACGTCGGCAGCATCTCCGTGAGCATCTTCTCGCTGTGGATCGCAGGACGCACACCCACTCACAGCCTGACTTTTGGATGGCGCCGAGCTGGTCAGTGGTCATGGCGGCATACGTTCACGGCAAGGGGCCGACACGAAGCCTTTTTCATTGGTAGATTTAGTACACAAGAATACTGTACAGGTATTCATTATATAATGTCATTTCCATGATTATTTAAAAGTTAGCACATTTATTTTGCATTATTTTAGCTTTTGGACAACTATTACTTGTGGGCCATCGGGCCACCATTAACGTCGGACCCTGTTCATGGCCTACTTCACAGTGTGTGTGTCCGTGTCTGTCTGTCTTTGCGTCTGTGTGTCCAACAGAGATTATGGGCATGCTTCTATCTCTTTCGTCCATCTGGGCCGTGACGGTTTTGTTGGTGTCGTCAGCTGTTCAGAGGATGTCCGACGGCGACTACGACATCAACAGCGACATCATGCTGCTGACTTCGGGCTGCGGCGTGGCTGTCAATGTCCTGTGAGTCCGCCGTTGCACTCGTCGCACACACTCCTCGGAATCCTTCCTCATGCCTACTCCCGTGTTTAGGATGGTGATCATCCTGTATCAGTCGGGCGTCGCTCACACCCACAGCCACAGCCCCAACCGGGCTTTTCCGCAGAAGGACGCTGAGCGGTTGGGCCTCGGTCATCGTCCGGGTAACGCCAGCGTGAAGGCCGCTTGCGTCCACGCAGTGGGAGACCTGATCCAGAGTCTCGGCGTACTGCTGGCGGCCGGCATCATCCACTTCTGGGTCAGTTGCAGCAAAACGCATCATCAATCATAGGTCACAGACAGTTGAGTGTGAGCGCCGCGCTGTCAAGAAAGTTAAAATGTGACATTCAAGTGGTCATATCACAAGTCATATTTTTCATAGTTAAAATGTTTGTTTTATAGCCGGGAACAAAGTGTTGTATTAAAAAAAAAAAAAGTATTTTTTTTTGTGATTTGTTGGCAGCCTGAGTGTAAAGCGGCCGACCCCATCTGTACGCTGCTCTTCTCCCTTGTGGTCATGTGGACCACCTTTCCCACCGCCCGGGATGTTTTCAGAGTTCTAATGGATGGTAAACGAAGACCCTCCAAGGAACGACATCATGGCAATGTTTTGAAGTGAAAGCCTCCCTGATGCTTGGGGTTTGTTCCTCTCCAGGCGCTCCTCCTGGCATCAGCGTAGCTTCCGTTCAGGACGCCCTGCTGTCTGTGCGAGGCGTGGCGGCGCTCCATCGCCTTCACGTGTGGAGCCTGGACTTGGCGCACGCTCTGCTTTGTGTGCACATCACTGCAGGTAATTTAAATATGTTGATTTTTGAGAAAGGAATTTATTCTCGAAATGGTTGGGTTTTTTTTTTTTCCCGTAGACTGACTTTAAAAAGTGGTGTTTTGAGCAAAATTTTACATTTCTCGAAAAACTAATTAAAACTGACAGAATTGGAACAAAAAGGCAAAACTAAATAAGAACTGACTACACTGGTAAACTCCAAACTATTATGGAACTTATCCAAAGATGTGCTTGTACTGTACATACCTTGTAGAGGAAGGTGCAGATGCGCACGTCATCCTCAAGAGGGCGACAAAGCTCCTGCGCTCCGATTTCGGCTTCGCCGCCGTCACCATCCAAGTGGAACCTTCCAGAACCTCGCAGGTGGACCTTTTTTAAATGTATGCTACCTGTTATTTGCTACTTAAGACCGTGCGGAATGGACTTCGCACACTCCATTGCTAATATTTTGCTAATTGCAGCACAATATAGCAGCCAAGAAGCAGTTGAATGTGTGTCATCATGTGACAACAGCAAATCTTGTCAGGCTTCATTTTAGCAAGCATTGAAAAGATTACGTTCATTTTTTTTTTTAATCTGACGTTTTGTCTGTTTTCCATTTGAAAATGTTTTCAGCCAAAGTCCCCCATTATTTTCAGATTAAGGTTAAAGAAATTGGCCAAATAAAAACAAAAGTGAAACATTTCTACCTTTGTTGGTGAATGAAAAAAAAAATGAAAACACTGCCAAAAAGTCAACAAGTTTTGTTGCATTTGCTCTGAAAAACATTTATTCTTCAAATAAAAATGCAACTTAAATTGTCCCCAACATTTTTTGGGGGGCTCTTTGGATAAGAAAACAATATCTAAATTGTTCATTTCCACCAAAGCATCAGAAAATGTATTTTTTTAAAATCAGTTTTTTTGTTGTTGTTTAACTAATACATCTGAAAAACAAATCTTTGTCAATTTGGGGGGTTAAAATACACAAAACATTTTTCAGATTAAAATGCAGGACAAAACAATTTCTGTTCTTCCCGTACTTTTTTGCTGCACTTATTTTACTTATCAAAAGGAATCGTTCAAACGTTTTATTAATACAGTGGGACACCTTTCACACAATCATTAAAATAGGCCGTAAATATGCGAAAAAATCAAAGCCACGTTTTTTTTCTCTGCCACTTGACGACGATCAATTGTGCGTCTCAAAATAGAGGATGTGCCCCCAAAAAATTGACCTCAGTTTGGCCGGCCGTCCCGCCAGTAGCGCGCGTAGGCCTCTCGAAACATGTCCCCGCACGCCACCTGGGCCTTGAGCTTGGAGCAGACCAGGAAGGAGCCGCCCATCTTGCGATGCAGCGAGTAAGTCTCCTCAGGCGGCGGCGTGAGGCGTTCGCGAAGCATCACCGGGATGAGGCGGTGGATCCGCTCCGTAGTGCTCTGAGTGCCGAAGTCGAACGGCCGCGTCGACGAGAAGGCCTCACCCAGGATCATCACGGCGTCCACGTGGGCGTTTTCCATCGCCTTCCAGAAGAAACGAGTTCAACCATTGGCTGTGTTTTTTTTTTCCTTCCCTTTTCTTTTCTTTTTTTTTTTTTGCAAGTTACCTTGGATTCAAATCCGGTGAGGAACTTCATGTCTCTGGAGCGCTGCAGGACCTCCTCTCGATTTTGATGTGCAGCTGCGTTGATAACCTATAAAAATCAGAATGAGCATGCGGATAACTGTCCAGTGCACAAGTGGGCATTTTTTGTTTACTTTTTCCTCTTCCTCCTATTATGATTTTTTTTTTTTAATAAAAATGTGAACATTTGTGAGGACAAATGTTTTTTTCAGATTAAAAAAAAATTATGCCACAACTTTAATTTTGTGAGCAATTTTTTAATATCTCCCCCAAAACTTTGGCCAGTGATGAAAATAAACTTGTTTTATGTATTAAGGAATTGGCACGAAGTATTCTTACCTCAATGTAGATGTCTGTGAAACTGCGGTCAAATTCCCGAGTGGCTCCGAAGTCCAACAGCGCCACCTATCGACGGATTTTGATGATTTTTTTTTTTTTTTTTATGAAGAAACAAAATGACCCAAATTGAGACGCAATCAAGTCAAAGTCAAGGGCACCTTATGCGTTTGTGGGTCATAGAAGAAGTTGGACCAGTTGGGATCAGTCTGCATGAAGCGGAACTCAAAAAGTTCCCTCAGGCACAAAATGAGGATTTGTTCACAGATCTGGAAGAACAGCCAAAGAAACAACATGCTTTGAACACAGTTATTAGGATTATTATTATTATTATTGTGTGTGTGTGTGTGTGTGTGTGGAGCAAGCCCTGCCGCAAATAGCTGATATCTGTGGCTAAAGGACGTGTCCCCCAAAAATGTTCTTGTTACTTTTTGAGTCCACAAAGTGGTGACAAAGCTCCTCAACTCATTTCAACAAACAGTCGTGCCTTGAGGTACAAGTGGCCCATCTTTTTTTTTTTTTTTTTTTTAAACTTCCCAAAATCTGCAAGTCGTATGACCTGGGCATGCGCAAAGTCATTCTGACCAATCAGAAGCGGCCTTTAAATGTTATCTGACCTTGTTTTTGCATGTGGCAGCAGCCAATTAGTTTCGGCCATTTGGGACTTCTGTCATGGAGCTGTCGCTGCCCCCTTTCAAGAAAAGCATTAAGGTAAGAAATTCACATCAATTGTCACTCGGAAGTGATCTTTGACTTATTTTCTGCTGTTTGAATGATTTTCACAAAGGCAATGATTTAGCCTCAAAAACAAGGCCGGGCGACTTAATACATTTGTGCTGCAGGGTTACATATTCTTTATCATCTGGAAAGAACTCGTAATATTAGTGCCGTATTGAAGAGCTGAGGTCTCTATGTGCCGGTACTCTTTCTGTCATATACTGCACAGCAAAATGAGCTGCACAATGGCCATTCAACTGATGCATTGTGACAAAAAAAACCAACTAATTCTTACTGTATGTTTTTATAAGGTATAGTACAGGATAGAATGCATTTTTTTCTCATTAAAAAAAATCATTTTAATGGCATTTCCATATATTTCGATTTTGGGGCAGGGGGAAATCTGTGAATGGCAAATATGGGTGGGACTATCATCCATGTGTGGTTACCTCGTTCCTGATTTCCTGGGGGAGGTCGGTGGCGCGGTCGAGGGGGAAGCCGCTCACCAGCGTGGTGGTGAGCACACAGCGCCCACTTAGCTCGGCGATGACATCGGGCACGTAGAAGAACGGGTGCTCCTTCAGCAACTCTCTAACAAACAAACACACACACACACACACACACCAGAAATGACAAAGACAAGTTCAATTATTTGCCAGCAGGTGTCCCTAGCAGAAGTTAATTTTTATGGGTGACTATTTTTTATTTATTTCAACTGAATTGAATTATTTAAAAAAAAAAACAAGAAGAAATTGGCACTAAATTATTGCATACATTTGTTTACCAGGAATTTATGATTGCACACGATAGCTGCACTTCACGTATCAAGTTAAAACGTGATGTTCATCACATTATTACATAATTCAACTATTTTGAGGGTGGGGTAGCGATTCTGTAAGTAGCCCCTTTCACCGGATGCAGTCAGTCACACAGAAGCAGAACAAATGGAGCAGATACGAAGTTGGAACACAGATGAGATATTGCAGTCACGCAGATGCAGAACAAATGGCGGCGATATGATTGGATGCGGTGTAGTCAGAAGCGAAATGTGTGGCGAGCGGCGCGACTCACTGGAACTTGGTGCAACATTTGGCCTCTTTGACGTAATCGCATTCCTGCGCCAGCTCTCGGCTCATAACCTGGATCAGGTGCTCGGGGAACAGACCTGACAAGACGACACACAAATATCTTTTTTTGGGTTTGGAAATAAATAACTGCAGTTTTAAGTGTGTGTGTGTGTGGGGGGAGGGGGGCATGACACTTTTTGACAGCATAACGAGGATATGTATTTTAGTTCGGTTTGAGGTGAACATTCTTTTCAGTTATTCAAAATACGGGGAAAAAAATAGTCTCCCCTCTCAGTTACCTTCAGGCAGCGCGTTGCTTAAACTTAAAGCCGTCATGATGTTGTTCACGTCACTGTCGATACTCTTGGACACGCCGGGATACTGGGGGGTTGGTGGGAACAAAACAAAAAAAAAAAAAAGATTTTTGACACCTGCGATACATTTCTAACCACGATAAAGTGGCTTATTATTGACAGGAAAACATGTTTTTTGAAAAAAAAAAGTAATTTAAAAAATAGACTTGATGATTTAATTCAAATTTTTGTTTTTACAGTTTAAAAAAAATCAAAACAGGAAATAGTCGTGTTGTCAGATAAACAAGCGAAGATGTATTCAATGTATGAAAAACCTTTTTTAATTAGCAAACAAATCTGTTTTGTTTTTAGGGGAATAAAAAAGTCTTTAGTAACTATTTTTCCTGATTAAAAAAAAAAAAAGTGTTTTTGATTCCAAATAAAAAAATACCTGAAAAGTATTTTTTATTTATCACCAACCAAAAAAAATTAATCCATCAATGTTTTTCTATTTTCTTTTCTTCTTTATGACAAAAAGGTACACTTGCAAAGATTTAAGGCGGAGCCTACTTTATTACCAGCTTGTGCTCTGACTGCAAAGCGCTAAGAAATGGACTTAAGTATATTGAAGTCGAAACATCCATCGATGTGTGGCGGAAAGCTTTTTAGTACCTGAACCTTCATGGCGACGTCTCTGCCGTCTTTTAGCCTGGCCAGATGCACTTGACCGATGGAGGCGGCGGCAAACGGCTTCTCCTCAAAGTATTCCAACCTCTGCCGCCAGTCTGCCCCCAGGTCGCTGCTGATCACCTTCTGCAGACAACAACAAGGCACTCGGTATCAAAAAGGTCCCGCAAAATCCCTACCTGGTCATCTCGGGTATGTTTTACCATCATCTGTTTGGTAGGCATGAAGTCGGCGCTCTGTCGAACCCGTTCAAAGATTTTGGCCAGCTGAGGGTTGATGAAGGCGTCGTCTACAAGATCAAGCAGAAAATGCATGTCACATTTGGGCTCGAAACGCCCTCTGGTGTTCAATATAATTCAGCCACACAAAAAAAAAAGGAAAAAAATCCCCCATTTTAGTTTGAAATGGCCATTTTGGTTTGAAGTGGGCCATTTTGGCTCGGTGGCATGTAAGAATTAAAAAACAAACCTAAAACAATTCCAGCCCCAAAAGTTTCATTGAACAAGATGGAATTTGGAAGACAAGTCTGTCATGCGGAAAGCCACAAAAAGAGCTCAAGAAGGCATGTGTGAAAACACTCAAGTCTGCAATGTTGCTTTTGAATTGGCATTTTGGCTTGGTTGAAACTTTCGTCAAAATTCAGTTCCCAAAGCCAGTTTCGTTTTGCAACATGAAATTTGGTAGGCAGGGCTTGTGTCGACCCTGAAAAAAAAAAAAATAAAAAAATACAAAGACATTTTGATTTGTCTTTTTACTGGTTTATCGATTGCTTTTAATTGATTACTCGTTCTTCATGTCTTCGAGTATTCTTAATGTTACTTAATTATTTGATCTTTTTATTATTTAATTGCTGTACCAACCTTCATATTTTGATGATTATCAACTCAATACACCCCATCTTATTCAACTGATGACGATTGGTTGAAAGAAGCGCTTTGCTATTAAATCTTCTCAAATTACAAGTAAAGTCTTATCCTTGTCATTTTTATTATTTTTGCAAAAGACATTTCTGATCCATTTAGTCTGAGGAGTTGGCCGCTTGACTTGAGGTTTATGTTCTTTGGCACCTCATCAAAGTTGATTGGCGCTTACATCGATAATGACTTGAGTCAATGTCCCACCTTGGATACTGAGCATCTGTCCTAATTTGAGTGCAGCGCCCCGAACTTTGCACAGCGTCCGCACGATCCGCTCAGCGTTGGCTTCGGAAAGGAAAGCGTTGGAGTCTAGGACAGACTTTTTATTGCCTACGGGGGAGAGCACACACACATGCACATTTGGTGCAAAGTGATGACGAGGCTTTATTTGCAATTCAACACCCAAAGCCAGTTTCACCCGAGCGACACAAGATGAGATTGAGGAGAGACACACCAAGAAGTGTCAAGGCTCCTCGAATTAATTCGTTTGTTTTAAAAAGGCGCCCAATGTTAAAAAAAAAAAAAAAACCTTGGACTACCTTGTTGTTGTCGAGGTTGAAACGTTTTCTTGGCCACCTCAGCAATTGCGCCGATGCCAAGTCCCACAGCCAGGCCTGTCAAAAGAGCAAAGGAAATAAAAACAATACATCTTTATTCATAAGGCGCTTTCACAACTGCAACAAAGCGCCTTACAGAACAGATAAAGTAAAAAAAAAAAAAACAACAACATAAAACATTGACAAGAATACAACCGGAATGAAATGAAAGCTGCAAGCGGTTATGACAAACGCATACTTGGGCTAAATATTGCCACATATAATCGGAATTCTATACATATGGTCCCTGTTCTCGTGCACGTGTCAGATTTTCCGAATGAAAGCCAAGCGCCACCTGGACAGAAGGCCTTCCTTCCTCATTGCAACGCTTGCCAAACCGAGGTGGCTTGAGAATCTAAAATGGAACATTGCTACCCCCTACTGGTGTCTTTGCATCATTACCACACTTCAAGTGCTTGGAATTTTAAAGGAATATCAGACATCAGACTCATCTTTACCCCTCCCGTTGAAAAAACACGAGAAAACCCATTCTTGGTACTGAATGTGTTGATTCGAATAAACAACTTAAATTGTACAGAGCATTTAATGAGTTATGGAAACAATTAATTTAAGACAATAATCCCCTTCAAGCGACCATTAATTCAACACCGATAAATGCCTCCCTATAGCAACCATAAACATGAACAAGTTTATTATAGTTTAAAAAAAATAAATAAAAAAATCACAAAAGTTTAAAAGTCATTTTCATTAACTAAATAAAATAAAGATGAAAGTGCTTCTAAAAAAAAAAAAAAAACCCTCACTAAAACTACATATTACATACCATCTAGCCATTTTCTAACCCGCTTATCCTTACGAGGGTCGCGGGCGTGCTGGAGCCTATCCCAGTCGCCTTCGGGCAGGAGGCGGGGCACAACACAGACGAGCAACCATCCACGCTCACGCTCACACCTCAGGACAATTTAGAGTGCTCTATTAACCTTCCAGGCATGTTTTTGGAATGTGGCGGGAAACCGGTGTATCCGCAGAAAACCCACGCAGGCACGAGGAGAACATACAAACTCTACACGGGAAGACCGGAGCCGAAATCACACCCTACATCCTCTGTACTCTGCTCACCAGTCGACCACGATGCTGCCCAATATTATTTACCTCCCTCTAAAAATCAAGAGAAATAAACGCCGCCCGCAAGCAACCATTAGTCCAATACAAGAACTTCAACAAGACATACTTCCAAAACTCATCAGGCGTCCAATCCGAGTCACGGGCACTTTCCTCTCTCGCGCGTTCTTGCAGAGCTGAAATGCAAAGGGGAAAAACTCGGCAAAATGCTTCGACATAATAGATACATCAAATCATCTATGAAGCAAAAGTCGAAGTCTACCACTTGCTTGTAGGGATTAAGGTGAGCACTCTTGGCAGCCCTCGCTTTGTCCATGTCCGCCTCTGTCATCCTCCCAACAGAAGAGTTGTCCTGAGTCAGCATCTTGCACGGGGGGCACCCCAAGGGCAACCTGGCCCGCTTGGTACCGCTTCTACGTGCCTTGCCTTGATTATTCGGCCCACCGGCGAGGGAGGAATAGCCACGGAATTCCTGCCGCTTGGTCAACGTGTCCTGAAACAAGCAGATATTGATCCTTTAAAAAGGCGCAGAGATCTTTTTAGTGCCATCTAACGGTGAGAAGGCACACTGCAATGAAATCAAAGCACTTGGCGATTGCATATCAACGCATATATCCAATATCCCAAAAGACCAAACAATAAAATGGTAAAAAAAAAAAAAAAAAAAAGCAAAATAAAATACAAACATCCAGTGGCGAAATGAATCTTATTGAAAATAGCCGGTCGTAAAACCACTTTTCAAGGAATGCAGTAAAATGGAAAAATATATAGAAATAATAATAATAAATCTAATAAATACAACACAATGCTCGGTCAAGGTTGCCATATTTTCATTTAGCCAAATTGGCATTAAAAAAAAAGATGGCACAAAGATTTCTTAACAGTTAAGGGAAAAATAAAAAAGTAGTAGGAATTTCAAATCATTTCGCATCAATGATGACATGCTGGTATCAATGAAGTGGTCAAAATTGAAATCATATCAGAAAGAAATACATTTCTTTCTTGTCACTTGTTTTCTGTGATTCGTTATTTGTTTGTTCCGTCAAGTTTGAGGTCGAGGTCGAGATCTGGAGGAGAATCTGGGCTTCAGTGCTAAAACTAGTACACCGACTTTCGTTTATTTTTGTTCATTCGTCCTTTCTGTATAAACATAATCACTCATCATCGGCTATGTTGGAAATTTTCCAATCTCCTTTTTAGAAATGGCTCAAAGTTGACAGAGCACAGAGAAACTTGGGTTGCAATTTCCTAAAGACAAAAAAAAAAAAAAAAAAAAAAAAAAGACGGTATCTGGCCGCAGTGAGATCAGCTCTACTGATAAGTGAAAGCCAGAATCTCTCTTTTCCTTGAAAAACTCTCAAAAATTAAAAAGTAGTAATTATGCCACCGTTTCTTCGACTGACAGCAGCTGGCTGCAATTCACTATTGTTCTTGCAGAGAAACCGGCCGGAGCACTCACCCGCAGAGATCCGGGATGGAAGCTCCCTCCGCCGGCCAAGCATCCCGCCGTAGCCCGGCCCGCCACCTGGATGATCCAGGCCAAACCCGTGCGCACCAGCGCGTCGCCAGCCATGGTACCCCGTCCGCGACTCACACCTGGAGCACACCCGTCGACTCCGAAGTTAACCTTCAAGTTGTTCCAAACTTTCATTAACCGCGTGAAATGCGGAGTCGCAAACTCACCACCAATCTTGAGCGCTTCACAATCTTCATTTGACTCAACGTGGTGTGAAGTCGTCAACGGTTTGTCGACCACTCCGCCCCAACGATCACACTTTTCTAGCCGGGAAAACCGCCAGACGCCCGCGGTGGGAGTTGAGCGGTGGGCGGGGGATTGCAATTGAGCTAAAGTTCAACCATTGTGATGAGCACTGGCCGAGCAGGGTGTCCGTCACTCAACGCCGCGATAGAACAGCTACCAGCGGTGGGCTACGTGACTGCTGACGTGTCCGGGGGAAGGGGCGGTCCCTGAAGTGGACACGAGTGATGCGTTCAAGACGTGCTCGCCGCAGCGGAAAAGCTGATGCTACGTTTGGGTTGTGTATGACTGTAGTCACAATTTAGAAGTACAGTATGTGACTTGCTCTTATTCTGCGCGAGTTTTTTTTTTTTTTAATCTCGTTGGATAAACTATTAAATCTCCGTTTATTTTATTCCGGTAGTCTGGTGTGAGCGCAGATGAAGTAACGTTTTAACTTCAGTAATAAAAAGCAACAAAATAGGTGAATGCCGGACTAACACAATTGAAGATCTTTGTGTTTATGATTTATAAGTGACTGTTTTCAAGTGGATTACTTAAAAAAAAAAAAAAAGAAGAAGAAGAATTTCTTAAAACATGTAGCCGATGGCGGCGGAAGAAAATCCACGTTTACAGGATGGGTTTTCCATGAAAACCTGGGGTTGGTTCCAAAACCAAAACAAAGAGATACATAAAAAACTCTCTCTTTCTTTCTCTCTCTGAAATATCATATTTTTACCTGTATTATTATTTGTTTGTGTGTGGTGTGTGCTGCTCGATTAACTCACGAATCCTCCAAAACAAATAATACCAGAACTCATTTCAACAGTACAATCCATCAAGTCAAACAGTGGATGAAACAACACCTAAAGTTTCTCATGAATACTTCAATGACCATGTCAGAATTTGATACAAAAACAAAACTGCAGAGGAAACGGTTCCGCCACGGAAACTTGCTGTCTTGACTCAATACCATCTGGCTATTTCAAAACTATTGCACAATCTGTGCTGAGTTACAGCAAATAATCAACTGCTCACTTCAGTCAGACCCATTTTTCCTATCCCCCAACTACCGGTACTGCTGTCCTTGCCAAAAGTATTTCCACTGATTCCCAGCCAGCTGTAGAATAGCTTGTAAAAATAGGCTACTGGTCTGCAAATCACTGAATGGTGTAGGTCCTGATTGCATGAAAGAAATCCTCACAGAATATAAACCCAGAAGACGTTATTTTAAACTAATATCTTGGGGAATTGAACGAACAAATCGCAGCGGCGGGGAACTCGGAAAGGAATAATGGTGCTGTAGACTGATGATAAAAATAGGACACGTGTTGTGCTGCCAGAACCTTTGACATCAGTGTATTTCTAATGAATTTCTAACTGGCAAAAAGGACGAAAAAAAAACCAAAAAACACACGTCACAATGTTGTGTGCCAAGAGTCTGTTTAATTGACTTATTGACCGCCTGACTCAATCATCCGGTATCACAATTTGACGGCCGACTTTAACTTGGGGAAGAGCCGGAGTGCGTTGCGCGTCGTCACCTGCATCACCTCCTCCACCGACACTCCTTTCACGGCGCTGACGTACTCGGCCGCAACGACGATGTTCTTGGGCTCGTTCCTTAACTGCACGTCGAAGCGGACGGCACAGAAACTGTTCATAAATATACTCTCAAGATGGCGACATTTTCATGAACACAGCTATGATTTTTCAAAACAAAAAAAAGGGACCTGCTTCTCTGGGCCGAGCGCGGGCGAGTCGGTTTCCAAGCACATGTTCTCCAGAGGCAACAGTTTCACTAGTTTCTGCTTCTTGGTGGTAAGAAGAGATTAGTTGAGAGAAGCAGCAAGAATAGTCTGCATATAGTTAAGAATGACATAAACACCGGCAGTGGAGGGACAACCATGCATCTATCAGCAGAAGTGCTTCTCTGGGCCGAGCGCGGGCGAGTCGGTTTCCAAGCACATGTTCTCCAGAGGCAACAGTTTCACTAGTTTCTGCTTCTTGGTGGGAAGAAGAGATTAGTTGAGAGAAGCAGCAAGAATAGTCTGCATATAGTTAAGAATGACATAAACACCGGCAGTGGAGGGACAACCATGCATCTATCAGCAGAAGTGAAGGTGAACGGTAGCAAGAATAGTCAGCAGCAAATTCATAAAAAAAAAAAAAAAAAAAAAAAAAAAAAACAATTCAAAAACCCTTGTCAAAAACTGTTGGGAT